TTATTGGAGCATCATGAAAGCCATGGGCTAGGTGTTCAAGAATGATGCCAGTAGGGTAAAAAGCTGCAGAGTCTCAAAGGATAAGGACTTAGAAAATGACTTTGGATTTGGCATTGAGAAGATCCATCATCACCTCTTTTAAAGTAGTATCAGCCAAGTGGTGAGCAGAAAGCAAGTTGCAAAAGGTGAAGGCATGAAAGTTTGGGAAGGAAGAAAGAAACAATTGTAGATTTTCAAAAAGGTTGTGAGAAGTTGGTAATCCCAGGGCAAGCGGGTCTCAAACTTTCGCAGGCATTGGAATCACCAGGGCTTGTTAAAATGCCATGGCTGGGCCTCACTCCCAGACTTTTCAGAATCAATTCAGTAGGTCTTGGGTAGGACCAAACAATTTGCATGTTTCTCAAGTACTCTGGTGATGCTGATGCTGGTGGTCCAGAGACCACCCACTGATAACCACTGGTTAGGGTCGGAGGAAAGTTTTTATTTGTTGGTTTTAGAAATTCCTAGCCTTGAACATTTTTTAATACTAAAAGGGGAAAGGGCAAGTAGCAAGGGAAATGTTGGAGATGTCAAAGAGAGTGATGGGAATAAAACTGCTAGATGCATGAGTGAGAGGGGTCCAGAACCTCAGTGACAGGAGTGGAGAAGACTTTTTAAAAATTTTTCTGAGTGATGAAGGAAGAAGTAGAAGAAGAAAAGAGAGAATATGGACAAAGCTTTGTAGGGGAAAAGGGAGGTTGAGGGAGCTCATTTTGAATAACTTGGTGGAAAAACCGTAAAGAAGTAGGAGGCAGTCTCAGAGGAGAGGGAGGGGGAGGGGACCTGCGGAGGAGAAAAGGGTTGGAGTAGCTGCTGCAGGGAATTCAACGGGGAGTCAACAAAATGAATAAAAAGGATACTAAGTAGCAGTGGGAGTCCAGCTGCAGTTAGAATGGCTTGAATTTGAACAGTTGAAAGCCTAAGATTGAAAAGCGAACAATAATACATTGAGAGACAGAAACGGATTTTAAGGTCTACACATCTCCTCCCCTGGAGCAGTGCAGTTTGGGGTATGATATGTTGAAAGTTGGCAAGTGCTTATACTTTCTCAGGTGCTTTGAGAGTTTCTTTTTATACTTCAGTTTGTACATGTTCATTTTTCCTTTAAGTGTCTGATTTAAACTGTTACCCCTTGAGTTTTTGACCAGTTTTCTTCTCGCTCCAGTGGTCCCCCTTCTCCCTTGGAACTCATCTTCAGTTCAACGTTGAACTGAAAGAGGAAAAATAATTTATGTTATAGAAGGTCATTTCATAGTCAGTTTCCTAGAAAACCACAAATTCCATTAAGTGGGGTAACCTATAGGGTTTAGCCAGTTAACGTCTCGATTACATGAATGCTTTCATTTCACATTTATTGCCTTGCCCAGTCAACTTCCTTTTATTGTTTGCCTAAAAGTGAACCTTAGAGGGTTTCTCAGAGGTTCTGATTAGAGGCCATTTTAAGGGTTGCAATCTCAGTCTGGCTGAGGGTTTCAAATAATACCATTCATTATTTTGGGGCTTGCTTAAATGCCCATTCTGAAAACTACCTCCTTCAAATGGTTCTGGACATTTTGTAAGCCTGCATATGCCAACTTATTTATTTATTTATTCTTTTATTTATTTTTTTACTGAAGTATAGTCAGTTACAATGTGTCAATTTCTGGTGACAGCATAATGTCCCAGTCATACATATACATACATATATTTGTTTTCATATTCTTTTTCATTGTAGGTTACTGCAAGATATTGAAGATAGTATTATACAGAAGAAATTTGGTTTTGATCTATTTTATATATAGTAGTTAGTATTTGCAAATCTCAAATATTTATTTTGAATTAATGTAGTACCTGCTTTCACTGATAATGTCAAACAAAGTGGAATGTTTTTGCCTAAAGTCACAAAGGAGCATGCTGCCCCTCCAAATTCAGCGTGAATTTGGAGTAAATGTAAATTGCTAATTGAATCCCAGAAGATTTCAGCATTTCAGTGTCTCAGAAGCTACACTTAGGACCCAAATCATTCCACTGGAACCGTGGTATCTAGAACTTCTTGTTCTGCTGAGATATGGTATCTGTTAGTATTAATTTTGTTATTTGCTGGAGTGCCTGGAATTCAAAAACCTTGAGTATTTTCTGACTTTTAGTGCAGTGTGCCTCTCCATAGAGAGTTATCTCCCAAGGGGACTCTATTTACTGCAGTCTTTATGATTTTATATTGCTTCATGCAGTTCCAACTTACAGGGTGTCAACACACAAGGCTTTCTCTGGCCTTGTAGAAACCCAGCCTTATTTAGAAATCTGTTTGGCTTATGGAAGACATTAAAGTCAACAAGGGCTAAGAAAAAAAACTCTCCATGTGGAAGTTTGATTGTCTCAATCTAAAAGCATAGATATTAAAAGAGTAGAAAGAGCAGTATAGAAATAGAGTAATCAAACTCTCAAGAAAACCCAAGAAGACAACACCTGGCCTCTCAGCTGTAAATGACTAAATCTTTAAATTACAAGTATCCCTTTTGAAAATTACCAAGTTTATTTTCTAGAAGGCTACAGATGGGAGGGGATTCAAATAATGAAGCCAAAGTTCTTTTGTGTTTGTAAAGCTGCCAAGGGGCTTTAACCCTTCAATGATCAATGACCAATTTTAGTCTCTAGTATTCCTACTAGAATTTTGAACCTCAATCTCTGGTAATAATTAAACTATTACTACATATCTGATAGATCATATTAAATATATAAGACATATTTAGTTTGAACCTTTTCTAAAGTTGTCAAAGTACATTTGATTTTCAGTATTACAAATCATGATTGCAGCCGGAATGTTCTACCTTTCCTTTCTATATACCAGAATTTCTTAAATTTGAAATATCAAAACATCTGGGCAATGTCCTACTGCTGAAAACTCCAAATCACTGAGAACAAAAAGGATTTGATCATGTGAGTGCAGCAATACACAAGGAGCAACTTGGCCTTAGAAATTTTAATGCAGTTAGAGGAATTAAAAAAAAAAACACCAAAACAAAACAAAACCCTTTTCTTCAAAGTCCAATTTTATCTTTCTGGAAATTTCAATCACAATAAGTTATCAAAGTAAGTTATTTAAACACATAGCTTAATAGACATTTCTGTCAAAATACTTGTTAAACACAATTTGGGATTTATCTTTTAAAAAAACTGGTAAAAACAAACACTTCTATTAGTACATTTCTATTCTTTTTTAAAAACCTCCACTTTTTGTTAAAGCTTTTTCTGCCTCTGCTATCTTTCTCAATTGTTTTTTGTTCCTTATTATCTTCCCACAACAGTAGCAAACTAGCAAAAACAATTTAATGCCTTTTGAAAGTGTTTTGTGGTTACACCCATTGCAGTCTATTATGTTGAGTCCCTTTTCACTATATTCCAAAAACAACTATCATCACAACTTCTTAGCACTTTGACTCCATACAATTAAAAATGGAAACTATGGAGCTAGTCAAAAGGTAGTTCTTACTACTTGGTTGATGAAATGATAAAAGGAGAAAATATGTTGAAGAGAGAGGCAGAAAAATCCAGTTTAAAACACCTGTGTATTATTAAGGGTGGAAAATAAAAGCTCACTTATTCCCCCTCTTTAATACTGCTAAGTACAAGGAAAGCTGAATAAAGTTCAGTAAGTTTCTAAAATTATTTACATTCTGAAAGGATATGAGAGAAGTTATCTTAGCTATAACGTTGGTAAAGTTTTGTAAGGATATGAAAGCATGGATTTCACTTTATGAATAACAGCCTCTAAAGAACAGGAACACAGGAAAGGAAATACCTTGATTTCAAAGAATCAAAAGGTCGACAAGGAGTCTTACAACAACTTTACTACAGTGATCTAACCACCATGTCAGGTGTGGAAAAGACCATGCCTTTTCTCTGTAATGTACCTTGCCTAGACATTTTGCTTATTATGAGTTTTTATAGTGCGTTTAGGGGCACCTGACAAGCAGGAAAGGAGAAATCTTGAGCTACTCTTCAGGAGGTCGAGCGCTAATCACTGAACCACCAAAGCCCACCGAGGAGGGAAGAAAATGCAATATTAAAGAGCGCAAGCCCTCGCTCTTATCTCATATTCTGGAATGACTTGTCTTGAGTCATACAGGAACTTTTCCTATCAATTTTAGCCAAGGATGGGACAAGGAAATCCTGAAACTAAGGGATAGGGACACAGAAAGCCGAGTCTGTTCCAGGGCAGTGGCGGAAGTGCTGTAAAATGAGGCGTCCGTCCGCCACCCCCAAACCAAGTCGCCGCCTGTGTCCCAAGTGTACACAGGCTCACTGCGCCTGCTGAATGTCAGTGCGTAGGAGCGGGTGTGCAACCTGCAACTGTGATTTCAGTGCGATATTGGACGCTGGTTCCTCCGTGCGCTAGATTTGGGACAACTTACACCAAGCGCGCTAGATGGGCTAGAAAAAGGGTAACTGTTTACTTCTGAACTCACTGGACTCTTTCTCTGGGAAGATGGGCGAAGCAATCTCTTAGCCCCCCCGCAGAGTTTGGGCGCAATGTGCAAATCGAATTGGAGCTGCGACTTCCCTTTCCTCGACTGAACCCGGGTGCAGGGTGGCAGCAGGTTGGGGCGAAGCAGTCTGGAATCCCCCTTTGTGTTCCCATCGCGACACTCTCAGGGCACGGAGGGGAGGAGTTCGCATCCTAGGCCACTTTGAGAGCTCTGCGTAATCATTGGACGTTCTCTCCTCAGACGGCCAGGCTTGAAGCGGAGGCACCACACCGCCCCCTTCTCGGGCTCCATCCCCATTCACCGGCTGGCCCTGAACAGCCTCAGGTAGTCGGGAGGCCGGCCAGGGAGTCTCCACCTCCTCGCGGGCGGCAGCCATTCGGCGCGCTCGGGAGCCGAGGGGGTGGGACCCATTGGCTGAGGGGAGCTGCCAGTCTCCGGAGGGGGTGTGTTGGGGGTGGGGTCTCGGGCCGCCGCGGGTCGGGGCCGCTCACTGTTTGCTGGGTGGTGGGTGAGCGTGAGCGTGAGCGTGAGCCCAGCTACTGGAGACTTGCGAACAGTTCGGAGCAAGCGAGAGCGCGCCAGAGAGAGCGAGCGAGCGAGAGAGTGAGGGAGCGAGTAGGAGGGGACCTAGAGGAGACAGGGCGAGAAGGCGAAGGCCTGAGGACCAACGAATTGAGACCGAATGACCATGGCTGTCTCTGCACCTCCAGTGATCTCTGCAACTTCCAGCGGCGCAGGCGTCCCGGGGGGCTTATTTCGGGCCGAACCCCTGTACTCGACTCCTGGAGAGCCTCCTCGTCTCACCCCCAATATGATCAACAGTTTCATGGCCAGTAACCACAGCGGCAGCGCCGGGGGTGGAGGGGTCGGTAGTGCCAGCGGAGGCAGCGGCAACACCAACACCAACGAGTGCAGGATGGTCGACATGCATGGGGTGAAGGTGGCTTCGTTCCTGATGGACGGCCAGGAACTGATCTGCCTGCCGCAAGTCTTTGATCTCTTTCTCAAGCACCTGGTGGGAGGGTTGCATACGGTGTACACCAAGCTGAAGAGACTGGACATATCCCCCGTGGTGTGTACTGTCGAGCAGGTCCGGATACTCCGCGGGCTGGGGGCCATCCAGCCCGGGGTGAACCGCTGCAAACTCATCACCAGGAAAGACTTTGAAACTTTGTTCACCGATTGCACCAATGCCAGGTAAGATACCGTTTCTTAGCTCGCTCTTCCCCCTTTGCCCTCTTCTGCATGTCTCATCATCCTCATCCAACTTTGTCTGTAAAGAGTGAGTCCTAACTAGCTTGCGCTACTCTTCATGCTGTAAGTCGGTGAGGAAAGAGGACTGAAAGGACTCATTAATTGCCTGTCCCTTCTAGTCCGAGCTCAGTGGCAGGGCTTGGGTCTAAGAAAGTCCCGCACAAACTTCAGTTTGCGGTCCTGTACTGAAACTTTCCAGCCTTTCGCCCATATCTTGCATGGCTTTCTGGCTGCTTGTGGTTATTTGTTAATTTCTCTATTTGGTTTTCTTTCCTGCTCTTTTGTGGCCGTACGGGTCGGATAGGGTTTCTGCAGGACACGGACACCAAGGGCTTTCTGGAGGAGAGGGCTGGCTGAGCTGTAAACTGGGCTCCTAAGCTGGCAATCCAGAACACAGCATTTGGGGGATGCAGAGGGTTGGAAGTCTAGAATCCATCCCAGAGGGTGATTCGTTCCCCATCCTGCGTGTTTGTTGTGAGAATGCGTAGAGTGTGTGGTGGTGGTGGTGGTGGTGGTGTGTGTTTGTGTGTGTGTGTGTGTGTGTGTGTGTGTGAGAGAGAGAGAGAGGGAGAGAGAGAGAGAAAGAGAGAGAACGAGTGCTCATGCCTGCTGCGCAAAGCTTCCCCGTACACGATACAGGAAAGTCGATGGAGCCTATTTTTAAAAAAGATCGACAGATATCACTTTCCTGGGATCGTCCTTTTGGGTCATCTGCAGAGGGCAATGTGGGGCATGAACGCTTGGGCTGGGACTGGATTGGGGGTTGCAGGATAAAAGTTGGCAGGTTTTCTAGAGAGGATGCTTTCAGGTCTTCCCCCCAGGCAAACAGTTGGAAGGATCCCATTCCCCCAAAGAGAGGATTCCTTAAATGATGATAGCCAGCTTCTCTGGTTGTAAGTGTACCTTCTTCATATCACAGCTTAGAAGTACATTATGGAACAATGTCCATTTGCATATGTCCACAAACAAATTGTATTCAGTGTTTCTGAGTTTAAAAAAAAGTAAACTACATTCAAGACGACTTGACTTTTTAAAGACCTGTGAATTAGTCTTCTTAGTGTTTATTCCATCTCCAGTCTGGTAGTATTTGCTAGGAAAGTACTCATTTGGTAGATGTAATTAGCATTTGAACCAAATCACCATCACCAGGTTAAAGGGGCAAAGGGTTTTGTTGTAAAACAGTACTGCTGTGGATCATTTTGCGAAAAACTTCAGCCGAGGTAGACTTTCTCACAATGCAACTTTAAATCCTAAGATATCTGGGTTTATGAACCAAAACTAACTCAGTTGTCATATCTGTTGTAAAATCCAAATTACTGTGTATAGTTGAAGTATACTGGGAACATGTGGACAAACTGTTGCTGACTGCTACAATAAGAATGCTACAGAACTTACAAAGGAACCTTTTGTTTTTGTTTTTCTTTTTCCTTTGAGCAGTGTTCTCCTGTGTTCTAGCAATTAAACAGAAACCTGTTCATGTGAGAATTACCTGATTCATATCTGGGGCTTATAAACCTGGTTCATTAGATCAGATTTTTTTTAAAAGAAAGATAGATGACCTTAAAACACAAAAGATAATTGCTCCCTCAATAAAATAAGCAATTATAGGTTTTAAGAGTAGAAAAGATATTTTAACCACAAAGCACTCTCCTAATACACAAACTCAGAGGGTCAGCAGGGACTTCAGATGAGGGCCATTTAACTTATTTGTTGTCATTTAAAAAGACTCACATTTAAACAACTGCAGACCTGAAAACCTATCTTCTCTTTTCTTCCTCCTCCTTCCTCTCTTCTTTCCCTTCCCTCTCTCTTACAATGCCCCTTCTTAAAAAGAAACAATTACACATAGGAAATTCTACCTTCTTTAATAATTAACATACACATCCTTGAGCAATATCTGACTTTCACTTAACAAAAGATTAGTATTTTAATGTGATTTTGATGCTTTACACTGTAAAAAGAAACTTTTCTTCAATTAATTTTTATTAGAACTACTTACTGAAAGAAAAAAATAATAAATTACTTTGTATCCAGAGGCAGGTGTTCTTATACTATTTTTGGACTTTGTTATGCGATGTGTTTTTAGGTTATTTTTATACAGTTAAGTTTTATTTACTCCTTATCACGGCATTTACAGTGCTAACTTTTGAGGGGGGCTTAGATTGCTTTTATGTATGTGTGTGTATAAAGGTGATAGAGAAATGTTAAAAATGTAAGAAGAAATATATCTGCAATATGATGCATGTGCCTCCAATTGCATTTTTTTCTTGTGAGTATTTTATTTATTACATGCATTTTCTATAATTGTGTTACAAGTGTTGCAATATATAATTGTAAAAATTTATGAAATATATTCTATGAATTCAGTCCATGAATGAAGATGAGGAAAACTACTAGAAACACCACCTATACTGCAATGTCTAGATAGTAAACAAACCCTCACAATTGGTGGGAAAAAAAATCTCATTAATGGTAAAATAACATTAACAAGTTTTATTGTTGCAAAATGCCCTCATAATCACGTAGTTAAAAATTACAAAATATGATAATACTTATAATGGATTCTTTATGACTTTAGATAATGTTACTTACAGGGATGTGTACCTTAAATCATTCCCAATATCTGAGTGATTTTGTAAAATTGTAAAATTCGTATTGAAATAAACATTATTTTTATGACTTTTCTATTCCGTGCAAAGAAACGTGAGGGATGAAAATAAGAATGAGACCCAAGAGAGACAAGGTAGATGTGACACGGAGCCAGTAAGAGAAGAGAGATTTGGAATATGAGCAGAATTATGCCATGAGAGGCAGTGAAAGATGAATCAGGAGAGATGCCCAGTGAAGGTGAGCGATGTACCAGTGGAGACCTGGCTAAAGAGGATTGTCTTTCATGATTCAGGACTTCCTAGCACTTTAAGCTAAAAGGGGGAAAAGTGCGAGGAAAAAGTCTATGTTCAATGAGTGGAAACTCTTACATACCATTCTTATTTGAAAAGAGTTCATCTTCATCTCCTGATGGATACATTTCCATAATGTATTGTTGAATGGAAGGGCTTTTTGTAATGGTGTCATTGGCAATTTTCTTTTCCTACATAATAAACATTTCTTCCCCTCTCTGTTAGATAACTGGGGAAGAGTACAAGTCCTGACTGAGGGTATTTTAATTTGGAATGCTTCCTATACTTTTCCAGAACACACAAAATGGACCATTTTCAAATTGGTCATTTGCAAAGACCTTAAGGTGTTACCAATAAGTGGCATCTTGATTTGGCTCAGGGCACATTTTTATTAATGTGCACTGAAGGAAAATGAATGAGTAAAATACATACATGATTGTTTCTTTGACAGTACTGAAAGTCAGAAAATAACTCAATCAGTGCCTTAGATTAAGTATTTTTATTTCCTAAATTATCAAAATATTCAAAGTTGTCTTTTCAGAAAAGAAGTTGGAAAATAATACCTACCTCAGCTACTAGAGAATAAAAAGATGAAAACTCTTGACTATTTATTGTTCTGTTAAATAAGTCAAGCTTTACATCACTGCAGTTGCCAAAGGCTATACAAGTATTTTTCCTTGATGCCCTTTGACTTCAGAAATTAATAGTAAGAGAGATTATTTTGAAGATGATTAAGAAAATGATGAACAAAAGACCAAACCAAATAGGAAAAATTGTCATCTTGTTGTAGATCTTTGTTTTTGCAGATAAAGCACTGTGATTTTTTTCCATTTCTTGTCCAAGAGAACTTGGAGTTTTTAATTTCAGAGCATGCAGGCAGATTCCGAAAACAAATGTCTAAAAATCTCACTTATGCCATGGATTTTTGTTACTAAATTCTTCACAGTTTAATGTGGCAGTAAAATATTAAATTAAAAATTGGTATTCAGTAAATGTGAAAGATCAGCCAACACACTTTAGTCCCCTTTTTATCTACCAATCTATATAAAAGTAACATTGTCAGATTTCATGATGGTGGTTAATTTCATTTGAGGACCAACCGATTAAATGTTATTCAGTCATTTACATGTAGTTAAATGGATGCTTAAAGAAACAAGAATGTATGATTAAGAAAACATTTTAGTGCGTTGGAAGACATGATTTAACATGACTTTTGCAACAGTTTAAAACTACTACTTTCTAATACTAAAAGTAGGATTATTTTAAGCATTCAATGAATTTGGCTTTGTATTCACACTTGATGAATATAGTTCATCATCCACAAAGAATAACAATTTACTTGGAAATTTGATGTTTTTTTCATAGTAAAGTTAGCAAAATCAAAATTTTGAAGAACTTGCATCACTTTCCTGGGCTAATATCTTGTCTGACTTACATTTTCAGAAATGATAAAAACGGTTTTAGAAATTAATCTGGGCAGTAAATGCAGACAGTTTAATTCATGGTATAATGAGGGGATAGTCATATTGTCTATTAAAAGCAGTCACATAATCAACAATGCACTGTCTTTTATTAGAGAATGATGTCAAGATTATAATTAAAGCAATCTAGTCATGTGCCAGCGCACAGAACTTCCAACGTGTACATTCATTTTAAACTAACACTTCCGCAAAACCAACAATTTTTGTGTTACACTAATATTTTAGCTGGATTTCATATTTGCCCCAAACACTCATTATTAGGTGATGGTTATTACAGTAAAGAAATGATGCATGGTATGATGGAGAATATTGTTGGATATTTATGTATGATATTGCACTCCATGTGTAGTCCACGAATGCCAATAGATAATTAGGAAGTGATTGTCTTCAGACATAATGTTTCAGATGGTTTCACATAGGAAATCCCTAATACCTGTAGGAAATATCTAGTCTGAATTGTTTGATGCTTTCATAAGTGAACTTATTTTGTCTTAATGAAATCTCGAGATGTTTGAAAAGTGCTTCTAGCAGGCAAATGTAATTGTGAGAAACCCTAATCATA